CGCGGTGGATTTCGGATTCCAGGTACTGGATTCTGGTTCTTTGTAAGTGGAACTTGGATCCCAGATTCCAATCCTCAGGGGATTCCGGATTTCTTTGAGCTATGTTCCGGAATCCTTTAGCAACTATTTCCTCGACTCAGGATTCCATAAGCTAAAACTTACCGGATACCGGAATCCGGAGTAAATAAATGTTATGCAAGCTTTCCTGAGCGGCACCCTCGGTGCCCGTTACTGAAGCTGGCCGTTTACAAGAACGGTTCTCATAAGTGGCCTCTAGAGATACAAGGATTGAGTGGTCACTTACGGGTGCTTGCCCGGCTACAAACAAACTTTGGAAATGCAAAGAAAAAAATGTGTGCTTGTAGCGGCGGCCATACTGTTGATCTGACAATGTTGTAATTCAGTCATAAACATAAAATTAAAGAGGTATTTTGAAGTGTTACTGGAAGTGTGTGTAAAGAAAAACAAAAAAACAAACAAACACAACAAACACTGAAACGCATTGTGAGCAATACCAATATGACGTTGACTTTGAAAAAGACAAGATTCAGAGGTGAATAAGATTTCGTTTCAGGTGTTCTCTTACTGGAGCTTAAAAACAAAGCTTAAATCTAACTCGTAAACCATGGAAGTGTCCGCGAACGCCTAAGAGAATTGTCCGCTTAGGGAATTTAAAAGCACAGCGTTTTTGTGGGAGTTTAAACGGGGTGTTGTGAAGGCGTCCGAGTGTACAACTGTCCGCTTACAAGAGTGTACGTTGGGAGGGCCTCCACTGTACACAATCCTCCAAAGAGACACACTTTGCACCCTTCTCCCAGTTACTATTTTACTAACACGAGCCGCCTCTCCTCTTCAACACAGAAATTCACAACCCCAAGGAGGGGTTACTCCTTATGATGTTACATAGGAGGAGGTTCCTACCAGGTTAGAAAAGGTACTAGGAATTTAAAGAGTTAAAATTTTATGAAATGGTAGGAAAATCTGCCATTCAGGTATTTATTAAGAAAGACTTGTAATGAAAAAAAGACTTGGAGGGTAAGTGAAAGGGGTCCTTTTATTTGTCAAAAGTGTTACATTACATATAAATGTAGGCAAAGGGTTGGACCTCATGGTGGAGCCTCCCCGTATAAAACGTTGGTCAGTAAACCGTCGGGGTTTACATCTCGACCGCACTTTATCAATCTATGTTTTCTACTGTTACTAGTATGTATATGGTAAAAATTCGATTAATAATTTACATGGTTTATCTCAATTTTTGTTTTAATCGCGATGTCTATGATTGACTATCCTGATTTCGGTACCGTCTAAAAAACGGGCACGATTGTATTATCAACTGAAGTTTAAAAACTCGAGGCGAAGCCGAGAGTTTTTACACGTGATAATACACGACTGAGAATTTTTGAACGGCTTCATAATCTACTTAGATTTGGGATTATTTTGGTTAAAGAAATTGGACTTTAAACATTAATTTCTTTTGTTTTTCTTTATGAATTATTAACTAGTTTTGGAATTTCTCATGAGAACTGAACTTTTTCTAGTTTGCTCAAATCTGTTTAAAACGACAAAAAAAATACATTAATCTTATCAAATTCGATTTTTCGGCAACATTTACCGGCAAGAAAATTAAATGCAGATCAGCTCAAGGTTAGAACCAGTATAACTTGCCCCAGAAAAATGGATTGCGCTTCTCAGAAGCTTGTTTCCATATCTTATATCATATAATCGTTAGTAGCAACTGCCATTTCGACTGACAGCAGCTCACTTACTTGCTTACTTACCGTTTGACCAATTTTGTACTTGCGTCCTTCAAGTCTGAACTTAATATAATCTTCTTGAGGACAAGCACCACCACCACCAGGGCATCTTTCGTCATGCCATAATGGCGCACCGTTTGCAAACCATTGAGCCAGATACGTTACATTCGCCCATGTCCCAATGCCATGAAAAAGTGGTGCTTTGCAAATTAAGGGCACAAAGAGTGACTCATCGTCTATGTAAGTGATGCTTGGATCGCCAATATAGTCACTTGAAAACTCTTTCGGTGGGTCTATATTAGACAAAGAGAGAGGAAACTGTACATAAAAAACGAAATGAATTCTTGTCTTAGTAGTAAAAAGACGTGTCTTTGTGCATTTGTACATTTTGCAGTTGTCTTGTTCACTAACAGTTCAGTGAAGTCCAGCAATATGCGACCAGAGAGTCATTACGTGATCAGTGAACGAGACAGACAATTTGACAAAGGAAAATTTTACTTACACGAACAGCAGTTGCTTAAACATCTCAGGGGCGTATAGCGTCCTTTACACAAATACACACGTGCGTACTTGAGAAATTGGCACGAATTTTTTAAAGTTTTTCTGTTATGTAGTAAAAGCCATTTGTACTGTCGTGACTTGTATTGGGCAGATTTGGTCCTGTCTGTCTCGCTGTTTTTCCGCATCGTTTTTACAATAAAAATACAACAGTTTGAATAGTGGAATGTGATAAATTTGAAACATTCTTGAAATGTTTGCGCTCAGGTGATCCCAAAATACATTGCGTTTTCATGAAAAAAGAAAGGGGACTGAGGAAATTCATGCAAGCACATTTGTCGCTTCAAATAATAGACCCTGACTGACTAAATGGAAAGTTTTCCCATTCTAAAGATACTGATTTTTTTAATTTTCTCTTTCTCTATAAAAAAAAAGTCTAAAAAAAGACTACCTTATCCTTACCTTACCTACCTTTCTAAAATTTTCTTTCTCTATAAATGTCGAAAAAGTCTAAAAAAAGACTACCTTAATATGGCGCGGTATCAACAAGAATTTTGCAGGAAATTTACTCCTAGCGAACAGATTGCATCGAAGCTATTTAGCAATCTACCAGAAACTCAGTGGAAATTGTAAAGATTACAGAACCTTTTTAAGACTTTCAAGGAGTTTTTTTCAGTGTAACAGAGTACAGAGTGATTCGTTAGTTTTACTGTAATTTCGATTCCGTTAATCCTGCTTCTATTGCATAATTTGTAAATTACTTAATTTGATTTACTTTTAATTGTAATTAATGTACTTTAACAGGGAGGAGCCACCCAGTGGATCTGTTAATAAGCAATTATTATTATTATTATTATTATTATTATTATTATTATTACTATTATTATTATTATTATTAAATTGACATAGGCGTTTGCATGATTCATTGTTTATTACTCACTTTCTTCATAACGCGTTCACCCTAACTTATGGTTCAAATATTAATTAGCCTCGAGATGACGCGTGCTTCGATTCAGACAGTTGGACAGTCATTTTCATTATTAGAAACCCTTTATTAACAATATTCCACAAACTGTATTAAGTAGTCCTTATGGAAAAAAAGTTCAGAGCAATGTCTATGATAATTAGTGGATAGGGCAACTGATTTTCTTTAGAGTCCAACCAGAAGCACAAAATGCTCCCGGGTTCGTGTTCGATTACGCTTGAGTGAAGATGCAGGGGCGTAGCGTGACCACTTTGGCAAGTACGCACACGGGTCCATGTGGTCTCAACTACAAAATAACGTTTTTGCTTTCCTTTAATACATATTTCTGCAGTTTAAAGGCTTGTTTACAATAGAACGAGATATTAAAAAGGCTTTTAAAACGTTCTTCTTTGAGCTGGTACTGGAGTGTTTACAAGCACAAGGCGAGGAGCCTTCCCTAATTTAATAAACTTCCAGAGCGCTGAATAATTCACGAGAAATTCAAATAAGATGTTTCGTTCAAATGCTAAACGAAAAGTAATCAAACCATTTTAACTAAAGATTAGTTTTACTGTCGCTTTTATTTATTTATTTACTTTGCTTGTCGCTCAAGAAAAATGTCCACTTAAAGCGTACCTTTTTGTGCAGAAGTTTGGAGTTAAGAGCATTGGTTGGAAGGATTGCATTGCAGCGTGTGCGTGTTTGTGTAAATTTTCCGCACGCTTAGTCCTTTGCTGACTTTTGAGTTTTTCCCTTATTTCGATCAAGAGCACGGGAAAGAAACAAACAATTATAGTCGGCATTTATTTATTTCAAGGTGTTCTGAATATCTCTAATGTTTGTAAATGAAAATAATACTACTTATCTTGGAATGTGCCGTTTTCAGTCGGGACTTGACTAATTTAATTGAATTACTTGAGCGCAGTTCCTTGCGGCATTCCTGTTTTATTATTTTAAGATAATCTGGCCAAGTCTCAGTGTTATGTAAAGCTTTAAAGCATGATTTCAGGAGGTTCAAATCTCTTCTCTCATTGATGGGAAGCCATCCGATTTTAAGTAGATCCCGAAAGTTCTTAACATAGTGACCCGAGTGCAAAACTTGCTGCAGCAAATTGAACCCGTTGCAAACGGCAAAGTAAGAATTGTGGTAGAGGGTAAAAAACCAGATCGGTATAATCTAGTTTTGACAAAATCAATGTTTCTGCTAGTTGCTTTCTAAGCTCATATTTGGCGATATATTTCAGTTTTCTTAGTATTGATAGAGTGGCGTAGCATCCAGATACCGTGTGCTTGATGTGATCATCCCACTTAAGATGTTCATCGATGTGATTTAGCTTATGAAAGGCATTAAAAACACGGCTTGGCAGTGCGCAAACGATTTCTGTAGCCAGTGAACAAAAGATACGCCATGGTGATTACTTACTCTTAAACAGTTTTGCATAAGGGAATATTACTTCTAAATAACGGCACATTGAATGCACTCTAACTTTCGTACCTTCATATACAATCAGTGAGTTTTACGACTTTCTTACCTAGCTTTCAGTTTCACTCATGATCAGTTATGGTATCTCTAAAAGGGTTGTTCCATAAAGTAGTCATAAAGTAGCTTGAGAGCAAGCCTCCTTTGAAGGGGTTTTGAACCACCCCTTCGGTTGGTGCCCAACCTATTTTACGAAACGGCGGGTGATGACGGGTCTTACACATTTCAGCATGTTCAAAGGAAAGCGATAATGGTGCATTCCTGGTTAAGCTAAGGCCACCAGTATTTTTTTTCTCTGTCGGGAGCAATTGAGATCAGTACCTACAAAGTTGCATGGCAACTCACCGTAGCAATGAGGGGGCTCGCCCTCCTTTCCGTATGGGCATGGCTCCTTGAATCCTGCATGATAAAAATTAATTATTAGTAAGATCTTGTGAATTAATACATGTCCCAAAAGATGTGCAAAATGCTTTCTTACCAGCGCAATACGCGGCTGCACAGTAGTAGAGAGGCTTAAGGTAGTATACATAATAACCTCCACAGTTTTTGACGTTTATATCGAAATGGTCATAGCATCCGTTATCCAGGCCAAAGCTATTGATGCAGACCGTGCGAGCCACATTTCCTTCTCCCTCAGTGGGATGTTTTCCATTTAACCATATTGGATCATGAGTACCACAATGACCTTCTTGTACAACGCTTTCTGGCATTTTAGCGCCACCAAAACTTGTAAAGCGATACCAACCATATCTAATATTCATGTCGCACAACACAATTTGTCCACTCCGCAAAACGCTCTTCGTACTGCGACGGGGTTCACTGATGTTCTGGTGATCATTGCAACAGTTATTGCACACTGCTGTCTGGCAGACGGCTATTTCTAAACACAGGAAAAGTAACAGGCAGGACAACAAAGCTGACCGATTACGGCGATTAACGCACATTTTGGTCGGTCGTTTAGCACTAAGTGCTAAAGCAGGCTTAAGTCTGTAGTCAGCCACTGGTGGTTTTGCTAAGTGCAAGACCACTTTAATCATAAAGAATTATATTAAGAGAACAAAAAAACATTTACAAAAGAATTAATGGACCATGATGTTGATAATCATGATTGGACTGCGTTCCCCGCCGCCAGGGCTAAAACGAGTTCAAGACCTTCACACTCAGCACTTTTTATGACTTCCTGTTTTTACCTTAATTTTCAGTAAAAGCTATCTATATCTATATCTATATCTATGTCTACATCTATGTCTATATCTATACATGATTGCCCATATATGGAATCAAGTACCAACCGACACCAAATCCTTGAGCACTATAGCACAATTTCGTGCTCGCCAGTGTGTGAACTGCATATAATTTTACCTATTTTTACATTCTTACATAAAAAATAGTTTCTTGAAAAAATTTCCCTAAATTACGATGTACTTAATAGTTAGGTTTTTTTTATGTGGATATGCATAATTCACATTATATCTTGTTTTGTATTTTTAGTTTGTCGGGCGTTTTTAACATGAGTCTCTGGCTCGGAAGATTGTGCAAACACTTCCCACGTCTTCGACATTAAATAAATTATTCTATTCTATTCTATTCTATTTGTAGACTTTGGCGTTGCATAACTGCTTTCAGTAGTACCGGTTAAGAAGCAATAAGTCAAAAGCCTCTAAAATTGATGCAGCGCAAGGTATGTTCTTAAAAAGGAACGTTGAGAAGGTTATAAAAATTTGAGTTAATACTTGATACCTATATTAGAATTCGCACGTTGCATTTTAGTACACTGTGCTGATGTTTGAATGGACGTATACTGCTTATAACTAAAGTGTGTAGTGGACAAGGAAATAAAATGGTTAATTGTCACCAAGATCGACCATTAATAAATCAATAAAAGTAGACTGAAGTACATTTAAAACTGAATTAAAAGACATCTAGATTTAAGATGCTAAAATGTTCTTTTAGATTTATTTCAAATCTATGATGTGACTATTGGCAATTGATAGCTAAACAACGAAAACAAAAGAAAGAGAAAACACAATCCCTGTACCCACTAAATTCCCTCCCCACTAACAAATATGTGTTTATAGTAGTGCTTGTCCGCAGTACGTGAACCCATATTCTGAAGGTTAAAATAAATACCAATTTTCTCGCACTGCGTTTAATTTAACACACCGTGATTCAACGGCGTATTGGCCTTAGAGTTTCCTACCGCTATAATTACTTCCCTACTCGCTTGTCTGATCTTATGCATAGGTGAAAGTGCATTCCTTACTTTATAATTTGTGTTTCGGTCAGGATATGACCAGTCACATTTTGGTCGATTAGCGCTAATCCAGGATTAAAATTCTCTTCCACTATTTTGTATTTCCCTTCCATGCATCGCTTAGAGTAACATTTTGTATTATTATTATTATTACTCTGTCTCAGGGTAAAGGCTTAACAATATTTTGTAAACTTGAGTTACATGTTATAAGACAAGAAATCCGTGCTTAAAATTTGGCTTAATCCCGGCTTAAACTTAACCATCATTCAGGGAACTGGGTCAAGAAACATTATAAAACCAATTACAAATGAACACTGAGTCGATTAAGTCACTACGCATTGAAATCCACTGAGAATGGGAGTCTGCAGTGGGAGACTAACATCTAAAGCAGAATAGAGAGGAGAAGTCGTTACGTAACGTGGCCATGGTAGCAAAATTATAAGATGACAACAAACGGCCGAAAACATCTCTTTAGGGAAGGACCATTAATTTTTTGACCGGGGGAGGGGGGGTTGAAAATTTGAAAATAAATTGTTTGCAGAGGCTGTAAACACTGAAATAAATTGTATGCAAGTAAAAAAAAAGTGTTTGCAGGAAGACAGAGACACACAAAAAATGTGGCGACAATAACCATCCAGTCTCCTCTCTTCTCGAGCGAAGAACTCTAATGTTATTTCCTGATACTAAGATTTCTGCAGTGTTTTTAAAAATAGGTTACAAAGGGTTCATTTTATAGCAGTTGTGTCATCTTCCTGTTATGTCTATAGCTTTGGTCTCTAACTTATGCTTGCCCTTTTTCGGTTTCCGACACGAAAATGACTGCTCATTAGACTGAAGTTAATCTAATCGATACGGGCACTCTCGATGACGAAATATGCCTAGCTCATAGCAAATTTCCAACTGGCAATTATAATTATTATGGTCTCTAACGGTCCGGATTCAAGAGATTCTTTCATTTGCAAAGCAGACAAATTAAGATAAAAAATAATAATAATAAATAAAGATAAAATTTCATTGATATTAAACTCCATCTATAAAAATCCCGGCATTAATACATCACTCTCAAAATTTTCATGGATTCCTTATAATGACTGATCGATTCCTAATTTCCTCGTTGATTTCATGGGGTAAAATGCAACATTTTTGAGAAATCATTTAGTTTGCCTTGAAAGAATAATCATTCTTGATCTATACTGAGAAAGTAAAATTTGACTTTGAAGGCCAAGTGTGACAAGCTTATCGCTGCAAAACAGCTGGACACATAACGAGTGAGTTGCTAGACCCTTGGAAAGGCGAACGGAATATCAGTTTTACTAAGTAAAATATACAAATTTGAAAAAAATGAATTGAAAGGAGTTAATCCGTCTTTATCTAAATAGAGAGATTACACTTACTTCCTTATATATCTATATTTGACATAGTTATTACACTTACTTCCTTATCTACACGACCAGGAACTTCTAACACGACCCTTTACATAAGGAAAGGCACTGACTGAAAGGACTTGAAATTGAACATTAGCATGGACATGCAGAGTTACGCAAAGGACTGAAATTTGCTTTGTTTTAAAAGCCAATCGACAAAGGTTGAAACAATTTTGTCTGGCGGCAACTAAGGTTAAGTTCAGTGGCTGTGCGGGAGCATGCGTAGGCCGGCACCTCAGTTAGATCTTTCTTCGTTCCATATTCCGGTTCTAACCCTGTATTCAAACCCCAGTGTCCCATTTAAAGTTTGTATATACCGAATGGTTTCGAAGGGATTCTCTTTAATTTTAAAAAGTAGAAATTTTACAAAGAACGTAAATGGCTCATTAATATTTTTGTCACCCAGCAATTTTGGCAGTTTTTGATGGCTGATACGTCCTTCAACATTACTTGCGAAGAGCTACAAAATGCACAAATTACTCAACTTAATCAGTTATTTTTAACTTTTGAATTTTGTTCGTATATACGGCCACGGCTTCTATGAGATTAGTCGTATGCTTATCAGAAAAAAAATGTAAACAATAACGTCAACAAAGATTCGCCTATTGCAACTGACAGAAAAGTGACTGTATGGAACGACACAGAAAGTAATTATAGTAGACTGCAAATCACTTGTTTGTTTGCTTTTTCTTTTTTCTCTCTCTCAAAAATGGACCTCTGATAAGTCGTCATTCTTAGCGCGGCCTTCGATATTTATAAGGCCGGCACTTCGCTCTTTCGCTTGTATTAGAGTACTTGTTTGCCAATTAAAGTCTAGTGTTTTAATATAAGTAATGTGGACCGCAATGGCATAAATCATTGCTTTATTTCAGTCTATCACGCACGACCAAGGATAAAGGCTCAATTTGCATTCCGTTTGCTAGCAAGTGTCATTGGTAAGTAACACCCATATCTCCTTTTCTCACGATATTACCAAATCTAAAACCTCTAAAATCTGATGTTGTTTCCTGTTGCTTCACGTACTGCTGCGTTATTAGACTAGTGTTACAAAGACTTTTCCTTTGATTAGTCCTGTTATGACCATGGTCTTGCGTTTACGCTTGCCTTATTGTTTTCCGTGACACTCTAAATTCAATAGAGGTTAATCAAATCGATTAATTAAACACTTACTTGCCCCTCTCCATGTGGAAATAAGTCAAGCAAATTTGTGGATTTTCTACTTGCAATTTAGCTTCTTAAGTAGTAATAAATGAATTCAAAAGTATCTTTATTGGGGCTTATTCAACAGAGCAGATCGTCCATAAAATTACCAAACTCGCCCTCACATCCTTTCTTTAAAATTTTGAGATGTAAAGCCTTTTTCCATTTGAATGATAACCAAACCGCAATGATACACATGGGTGATCAACATGTGTCTTGTAGTGACTATATCATTATCAGCTAAACCTTGAGAAAGGATGTGTAAGGACATATATTTGTTGTTGGGGAGGTAAATTAGTGGGTATGGGCATTGTGTTTTCTCTTTGTTTTGTTTCAGTGTTTAGCTAAGTGTATCAATTGCTAATAGTCACGTCATAGAATTGAAATAAATGTAAAAGAACATTTTAGCATCGAAAAACTAGATTCTTTTAATTCAGTTTTAAGTATTCTTGTATGGATGCATTAATGGCCGGTCTTGGTGACAATTAACCATTTTATTTCCTTGTCTACTACACACTTTAGTTATAAGCAGTATAATAATGTTGGGGAGGTAAATTAGTGGGTATGGGCATTGTGTTTTCTCTTTGTTTTGTTTATTTCCTCTCAACACATTCTTTCTCATGGTTTAGCTTGGTCGTGCGTGATAGACTGAAATAAAGCAATGATTTATGTCATTGCGGTCCACATTACTTATATTAAAACACTAGACTTTAATTGGCAAACAAGTACTCTAATACAAGCGAAAGAGCGAAGTGCCGGCCTTATAAATATCGAAGGCCGCGCTAAGAATGACGACTTATCAGAGGTCCATTTTTGAGAGAGAGAAAAAAGAAAAAGCAAACAAACAAGTGATTTGCAGTCTACTATAATTACTTTCTGTGTCGTTCCATACAGTCACTTTTCTGTCAGTTGCAATAGGCGAATCTTTGTTGACGTTATTGTTTACATTTTTTTTCTGATAAGCATACGACTAATCTCATAGAAGCCGTGGCCGTATATACGAACAAAATTCAAAAGTTAAAAATAACTGATTAAGTTGAGTAATTTGTGCATTTTGTAGCTCTTC